AAGTGCCAGATACCACAAATCATTATAAAACAGAAGCACCAGCAGCCGTTAAATACGGTTTAATGGTCTTTATTAACTTGTCGTAGCCAATGGTAACCTCCACAATTTCGAGATAAAAGACTAAAATACCACCAACCTTAACTCTGAACTAGACACTACTGTTTAATGTATGTTACCAACCGAGCACCCCTGGCATATTTAACCAATTCTTGTGTACTCAAATAATAATAATAATAATAATAATGCAGTGAACATAAGCTGTATGTCTCTGACTAAGTTACTAGGTAAGTCCTCTTTAACCACAGGGCTTGGCACGTGCCTTCATGTCAAAAGCTGTTTACTTGGCTACTGTATCTCCAAATGCATCTCCTTTCTAATAAGTATGTATGTAAATGTCACCGTTTCAGTATACAGTATATAGACATGCAATTTTATAGTTGTCAGTAAATCTGAACTAAAAATCTGTACAATTTAGCAATCTTATAAGGTAGATCAAGAAAAAATACGAAATGGCTATAAAAAAAAACCCAAGTTCAACAACCAGCAGACATTTCTCAGAGAAAACATTTCAAAACATGTATTTGATAAATCTTACTTTTTCGTGTTTAATATGAGGAGCTGCGGTTTTCAGTGATGAACGAGCAGTCGCCATTAAGATGGACGCATTTGTGTAATTGAGTCAACAGGTCGTGTTATAAATTATAACCGGGCATATATGGTTTTAAAACTGATTTTGAAAAGAGACGCCTCTGTAAGGCTGGGATTGCCAAGGTTGAGAAAACGTCGAGACTTTAAGTCATGCAGATCGGTCTAGTGCACTTGATGTTTTTTAATGACCCTACGTCTCCTCCACCCCAGATCTGACAGCACTGTCTGTCATATCCGCTATGAACATAGAACTGCCACTTGCCCTCGAGCGTGGGAATGAGAGCGTCCAGTCGTTCACATCTCCTGCATTACGTTTAACGGAATCAATTAAGCAAGGCCAGCCCCATACTGCCCACTCCCCATCCCTTTCCCAGTTTTGTCAGGTCTATATACGACCTAATTATTTCAGTTTGGGATGCCAGTGGCGTTTCCTGGATAGACTCGATCATGCCTGAAAAAGGGGAGGCGCACACGTGGGTTCCTCCTGTAATTGTCTGTTTCATTTTCGATGCTACGACTTTGTGAGACAGAACATTTGGAACTCTTTGTAACAGTTTTCTAATCTGTTTAATGCTTGAAGATATCTTAAACAGATCGCAAACCATTTATTGCATCCTTTCAGCACTATATTGCATTTGGAGCACCGCTGAGTAGAAGTAAAAAAAAAAAAAAAAAACTCGAATGCACATGCGTTTAGGTTAGATGTAAGCATTGGAAATGCATTACTAAAATAACAGATGCACTTAGACAACGCAATCGACAGATTTACATTTTAGCCTGTGCGCTTTTTTTGTAATTACATGACAAATTATAGAAACAGCAGGCCCATTTATTCATGTAATATAAACGCACTGAAATGCATATGGTGTGGAATGACCGTCACAATTTTAATATGTTTACCAGTTGCAGAAGTTGCCTTTGAAACACTGATGCCAGGAAGCAGTAACACGCGCTTCATTCATAGTTTTAAACATCCTTTGAGCACCCGCGATGATCCTGGAAGCAGTTTTTACTTTCGGTTATCTAGCTTTATGAAGACCATCACACTCATACAGCTAGATAACCAAAGATAACAACTAACTTCCCATCCTTCATCGATATTCCTCTCAAAAGTTATGAATCAATGCAATAATAATAATGGTTGTAGTTCCATGTTGGAGAGCCATTTTGCCCAAATGTTCTGAAACAGTTAAAGCCAAGGCAGCTTCAATAACCTTCTCCAAAAATGAAAATATAATTTCAAAATCCCAACATTAGGGCCACGTCCATTTAAAGTTTGGCATGAAGTTTAACTCCCTCTTTCCCCTCCCCAATTCCCAGGACCAAAGAATCCCTAAAGGAAACAGAATTCCAAAAGGACGCATAATTCCACAGAACATACAATATTCGCATATTAATTATAAGTGCTGGGATGCAGTACGAAACAGCTGAGCAATGTGCATTAATCCTTGCAGAGGGCCTGCATTTGCATTGTAAATTGCATCACTCACAAAGGTTCCATTTGCCTCTCTTAAGTCGCGGTGGCATCAGCAATATCCAGCATAGCCAGCCAAGAGGTTATATGAAGAAAAAATCCGGTTCCAGAAAAAAGTACCGAACAAAGATCAAACAGCGATCGTTTGAAATTATGCAGAGATCGTTTAGCTAAACGGCGTAAGGCAGCTTGCACGTAAAGAACCGTATGATTTTGTGAGAAATACAGCATTTATTTCACATAGCCACGAGAGCTGGGAGGACGAAGATGCCGTCCTGCTGGCTTGCCGCTGCCAACGGTCTGAAAGAAGGAAAAAAGGGCCATCACTGAAAGGAGGGGGAGGGGGATTTGCAGTGCCAAAATCTGGACCAACCCGATGAGGTCAAAGGTCTCGATCCGCGGGAGTATACGGTAATGATGATGCCATCAGATGCCTTAAATACACGTTTATATCTATATGTACAAGGGAAAAGCATACTCCTCCCGCCATTATCAACCGCGCTGGAATAATTGCCCTACAAGCATTCTCGAAAGGCAAAGAAGAAAAGAGGATGGAGATTAAATGATTTCATAGCCTTAAAATATTCATTTTGTTGCCAATGAAGATCCGTGTTAATGTCCAGACTATCAAAAAAAGTCATTTGGAGGGTGGATAACGTATCGGATCGGACAGTGCAACGTGCCAGGCTGAATTTCCTTCTCAGTGTCAGCGATAAGAAAGCTGAGGCATGGAGCCGGGTCTCTTTAGTGGAAAAGCTGGTTTGAATAGTACTGTCAGTCGATGTATTGTAACACTGGCAGTTTTGTTTTTGTTGTTTGATTGCTGCAATATGTTGCAAGCTTATTTAAACCAATAGACGGCATCGGCAGTGTTGTATAGGTACTCATGGTCGCATGATCCAGCTGCAATCTCTCATGCAGTACAGCAGCAAACTAAAATTTAAAAATAATCTAAATTTAATCATACACTGTATTCATGTATGCATGGGGTCTGTTCTGCCGGTTACAATCATTAATATTAACGTTATATGAACGTTTTTAATATACGTGTGAGATGGAAAAGGCGCTATGCATGTGAAGTATGCATACATACGATCCGTAATACCCTTTTAGTTTGTTGGCAATTGAAGAAAAAAACTCTTGAAAGTGTCGTTTCCACCTTGGAAACCCAACCAAAAACGTAATTTAACACCCTAGACGCGAAACCGTTGCACTATTTACGCAGTGAGGCGCGATTATAAGTTGTTCTTCTTGTGCCATATTTCATTATACCGTACTACTGTATATGTGACTAAATGAAGGAAATAGAATTATCCATTCCGGTCTGTATGAAAACGTATAGCCTACCGCTTTCGAAATACATACCTGCCGGCCGGTATGTTTCAGATTGGCCTGTTATATGGACATAAGATATACGTCGATGCCTTACGAACGTGTACATGGCAGATCCAATCATATTTTACATATTTATGAGTTAAGTTTTAATGTCCTTCATGAAACTGTGGATCATAGCTATAACAATTTTTCCATTCGCTCAGAGGTGGGGTGATGGCAATTTACTGACCGTCGAATCCACCAACTGAATTATTTCTTCATACACAAATATTGTGTCCCTGGACCCATTTCAAATTTTGGGATTGTTTTTTTGTAATCTTCCTTTGCAATTAAAATTAACAAAAGCATTGGGTAAGGACTACAGTTGTTGACATAATATAACGAACCACATCAGAAATGCATATTCTTTAAGAGACAACAATATGTAGACAACAGTAGAATACCAGTTAGAGTCGACCAGGAAGAGCAGGTGTATTCCAAATTAAAAGTGCATATGAAACATCTTTAGTGAGGTTGCTGCCTCATTTCGGTTTTTATTGGTGCCACTTTCAGAATGGTAGACAGAATATCATTACAAGAATGGGGAAAATGGCTGTATAAACTACTGTATCTACACCAATGAATTATTCAATAATGACTTATAATGGTTCAAATCATGCCCACGTATTAGTAGCTACATGTTTATACTATTATACTACTTTTTGTTTTGTCTTTCCTGAAATCAAACCAAACATCAAAATGTAATTTAACTGAATATGCATATATTTCAGGGCTGTGTATTTCACATATTTCCTGAAACATGCGATGCAATTAACAAGGCGTTTGTTAAATCACGGCTTCGTGACGTCAGTAAGGAAACGGGATCAATTTCACATGCGGTAGGCATTTTACTTACAATCATCAAACAGCTAATTATTGCACTTTAAAATATATATTTTATTTGCCGTTTAGCCTGCGTATAACACCAACCCTATGCTATTAAAATGTAAAAAATCAACTACATACTTAATCGAAGGATGTCTAATAATTTACATGTCTAAAACATTACAAAACCATTGCCTGCATTCTACAAAACAATGGCCGAATGTTGCATTAGTACCGAAAAATCTATCCATATTAATTCACGCAATTTGCAAAAATTGTTTGGTATTGATACTAGCCAACAATGATGGAAAGCCGTAGTACAGTGGGCTGCTTAGCAATGGAGTATCATTTATAGTGGATTGCAGGGTTTACAGTACTGATGGCCCTGGCAGAAAGATCACACACAACACACGTTTGTAATAGTCCCATTCGAGAAACAAAAAATAAAAATCAAATAGGCCTACTATTATTTTTTGTAGCATAATATTTGATAAATAAATCAAATGTGGTACTTAGCCTACAAAACAACACAACATTTTTTGAGTATTGTAATCGACTATTTTTAATAGTTTATAACACACAGTTCGTGACAATTAAGGGTTTACATATCCTTGTGATTGGTTGCGTCCTGGCACGACGGAAAAAAAAAGGTATGAAAGATTGAGGAAAAAATACTTACATTTTCCAAATGTTTTAAAGTTATATTGCAGGTGCTGTAAAGAATCAAAAAACACCCCGGGGAAAAGCCATGTTAGCATGTACGTGGATCTCACTAACCTTCTTCACCAAATATCCAGCCATCCCTTGCCACCCTTCCATTTAAAATTGCCGCTAATACTAAAGCCATTATACTTGTTTAGTGGCTCTGAGTCAAACAGAATCATATTCCACCCACATGATGTAGAGAGGAAAGGCGGGGCCGGGGTGTAAGGAGGCCGGTACAGAAACTTTGCCCACACGATTTTGCCTTGTCCACCGAATGGAGTACTGCACAACGAGGCTGGAGTGTCTACAAGTTTTTGGGATTCCCGAAGAATGGTCCTACCCTGTGTCTGAGACCCGACGTGCTCTGAAATATTAAGAACTTTGTTTCTTTTGTTGGATATAAACTCTACATCTATTGTATATCGATTGTATTGAACTAAGCGTTTTTTCTAATCCAAGTTCTATAGTGAAATATGCAACGAATTTGCTGTTCTACAACTTGTACTTACAAACAGAAAGGAATTTTCTTTCCGTGCTGAATAGTAAAATAAAAGACACATACTCGCACAAAGGCCTGTATTTGCTATCCACGCACCTACACTCCGAAAAATATAGCGTTTCTTTATCTACAAGGTCACTAATCCAGTTTTATTATTTTATTTTTTAAGATAGGGAAGCAGTTATTATTCACGTTTAGAAATTACAGTCATAAAAGGGAAAAAAGTCTTGGCTGTGTCAAATCAGGAATACTGGCGAACCCTTTATTAAATGTCTTTGCCAACTGGATAATTGTATATTACACCAGTTCCGCATAGGATCAGTATAGCAAGAAAAGTGCATGAAGGTGATGGATCGGGACTCGCCCAGCGGGATATAAAACGAACGTTTTTTGTCCGACGTAGTCCTTATTGATTATGAAGGCCACTGAATTATCTGAGCTATAAATACACCCGTAATAATAAAAAGACACGCCTAAGGCAGTTATGTCCACTTTCTGGTAATACTAGAGTACTATACTCTCTCTTCAGGTATAACGGTCTTTTGATGTGTTAGTTGAACTTTTATAGTGAAGTTATGTAAGGGTAATGTTTAGAACATACAATGATATCAATTAAACGAAAATAACTACAACCAAAATATTGCGCTTCAATTTCAAACGTTTCATGCCCATTCTAAGTACTGTACTATCCACTTAACAATTGCATACACGTTTTATAGTGAGGTCAGGTTCAGTGACGTAGACATGCATAGCTACTACGTACAGTCGTATTTAAATACAACAAGGAAATTAGTGCATTTAAATATGTAAATCGGTTCTCTACCAGCCGGAGAAATTTCTGTATACTGTGGATGATCTCTTCGTTTTATTTTCGCGGAGTACCCCCAAATAGCCTACATAATTATTATCTTTTAAAATGTATTATATTTTTATTGAATCAGAATATTTCCTGTATGTGGTACGAAGCTGATGAATCTGTACTTCCTGTGGATATTACCCATGCATAATGAAACGTCTTCTGCGCCATTTTCACAAAGCCAGCTGGTTACTGAGTGTGTATTATTATTATTATTATTATTATTATTATTATTATTATTATTATTATTGTTGTTGTTGTTGTTGTTATGGAGGTGCAGATCTTTAACGTGGAAATCTATGGAGTTATTGTACTATTATTCTTTGTACTAAGATTAAATTAATTTCAATGCATATAAATTACAAATGTAATACTGTGAAAATAAATGTATACATAACACTATTGTTTTACCCACAATTACGCACAGTAATCGAGTGAATAACGGCGATTATGAACATATTATCCGAGGTGGGGAGGGGGCGGGGGGTCCAGTTATTGCCATTCACTTTCGTCCTACACAGTTCACGGTACCTACCTTTCAAGTTGAGTGAACGGAAAACCTATACCACAACCTACAACATTCCTTCTTAATATTCGCATGCATATATCTATTGCCTAATTATAACGTAAAAGGAATACACATTTAGAGTAATTTTCTGTAAAAGTATTATTGTATTCATTAAAATATTGCTAAGTGCTATACATTATTATTATTATTATTATTGTTGTTGTTGTTGTTGTTAACGTTGTTGTTGGTGGTATTGTTGCAGTTGTTTTTTACAAAGGCATTTGTCAAAATTTACAAGATTTTTCAACATTATTGAAGACTTATAATTTGATCCTTATAGAGCATTAACAAAGCGCTTTTATCGCGGTTATGGATACTGCAAGAATTACTTTTTGCCAAGTATTTTTAAACAATTCGGTTTACTCTATGTATCCACATCTATATGCATCATTTCGTACACGACATAGAAGAGTTCGTTGTGACATGAATGGGGTGATATGCATCTATGATGATCAAATTATAAATCTGGAATTCTTATAATAAGGACAAACAAGTTTGTCTAGTAATTGATACAACAGAGGAAACCATCGTAACAAAGTGCCAGTATTGATTTATGTGTGCTATTAATTTCCATTAAATTCCTATAATTGGGTATTATTAAATGGTCATAGCAATAATACTGTCCCTTCGTGTTGGCGTTGTTGTTGCGAAAATCTGACAAAAACTACATTAGTTTATCTGTTTTCAATGTAAGCAGAATACATTAGTTTACTGCGTAACGGATTTTATATGTGACACCTCTCTTTTCAGCTTTACCGTATTTGTAATGTCATATATAGGCCTATACTGATACACTTAAATTTAAAGTAGGCCTATCTGTATACGTATGTGATGCGTCACCACACTTTATCCCGTTTGCCGTGCAAGACGTATTTAATAAAGATCCGATAGATAGATAGATAGATAGATAGATAGATAGATTGATAGATACAGTAGATGGGTTTCCATTAGAGGCGTATATATGTCTTTATATCTTTTTTGCAATTGCCTCTCCATTTACATGAAATCGTTTAGGTGAAAGTTGTATTTCAATCTTCAGGTTGTATAGGATGCTTAAACGAATCGTTTGTAGATGGCGACATCTAGTGTGGCCACAGGCACAAAAACTTCGCGCAGAAAATATAAATAGTGAAGAAAGGTATATTTCGCAACAAAATAAATGAAAATGATACTGGAATGTATTGATTAAGTGTTTTGAACTTCATGCATCACAAATCAATTGCTTGAAATGATCTGAAATATTCGTTAATAATAAATCAGTATTGATGCCATCAACAAGAAACACTCTCAATTATAATTGCACATATAAATTAAATTTCGAGAAATCTATACATTTGTTGTTTTTTTCTGTGGACCCTTAATCATTTTGTACAGTAGGTTAAAAAGCACCCCCCCACAAAAAAATCAAAAAGACTAACTAATCATCATAATGCATAATTTGCGTTATATTTGCGATTTTAATTCTTTAAATCACTACACTGCACATTTGCAGACTACAATGCAGACTCGCAAAAATTGTTTTGTACACTATATTGTTATAAATAGTGTACGAAATAAATACTGTAGCTACACACATAAATAATATTTTATTGTGTTGTGGACATGTGTTTATTGTATTTGTATGTACAGTATGTATAACCAATTCATGTTTCACCATGAGGGGTGCACACACACACACAAACACACACACACAGACACACACACACACACACACACACTTGTAATTATATCTTTATGGGGACTCTCCATTCATTTCTATCGGGAAAACTCTAATCAAAACATGACGACCTTAACCCCTACCCAGCCCTAACCTTAACCATGAACAACCAAAGAAAAATACGACATTTTTGGCGTTTTTTCCTTTTTTGATTGCATTCATAGATCTTTGTGGCACCTGAAAAATGGTCCCCACAACTTAAAAAACAACAGGTTTTTATTACATGGACATTTGGTCCCCACAATGTAATATAAACATAATCCACACACACACACACACACACACACACACAC